CCCACAAATTTCCGTTGTTTTAAGTCACTCAGTTTGTGGGAATTTGTTATTGCCATCTTAGGAAACTAATACAGCAGTCAAGACCAAAATAATCAAAAGGGAATCACTCAAAATCTCAAAGCTCAACACATTGCCTCTCACCTCTTGTATAAATCCCAACCTGATTTCACCATCTCCTAGAAGCTTTCTTGGTTCTTACCTTTGGAATCATTAGTCCTCTCCCTAGGGCGGCATGTGCTTTCAAGTTTCAATATCTAGTTAATTCTCCCAACAATCCCATAAGATACTGTTTCTATTTTAAAATTGAGAAAGCCCAAAGGCACAGATTATTTTGTTTATGGTGATTCACATAGTTAATATGGTAAAGCCAGAATTCAGATCCCAGTTTAGTCTGAACTGGAGTCCCATGGACTTTTTACTATACTTTTTACTACATTCAGAGTTGCTTTCTAGATCTTCCATTATACTGTAAAATCTCTCTCAAGTTTCCTCCATTAGTTATTGTCAGTTCTACCAGTCAACTTTTTTTTTTTTTTCACTGCAGGTTGAATAGTACCAGCGGTAAACACAATTCTCCAAGACTGACCCACATGAGAAGGTTCTGGGTTCAAGCCCAGAAGTCTTCTTGAGTAATATTGGCCATGCTTGTGCACATGATCCTGAGATGGCTAAGGCCAGGGGTGGATCCCTGAATCAGGACCCTGTGGGGGTTCATTCTCTTTTTCTCTCTCTGTCTCTTGATAATGGAAGAGATAAATGTATAAATTTTTTTGAGAAGTTTTTTGCCAGAGGGCATGTGCACTCACCAGACAGAGAGAGAGAGACAGAGAGACAGAAAGCAAGAAGTCACCCCCCCGGGGGTATGACCACGCCCAATCCATTCTCCTCCATTCCTCTCTTGGGATCTTGGGCATGCATGCACATGCGCCCGGCATGAGTTTTAAGCCACCAGGTCCGGGAAGTGAACCGCGGTCGACTACATGGGAGTGCAGCGACATAGCCATTACACTAGCTTCATCCCAACATACAAATTTTTTTTTAATTTACCATTTTACATTACAAAGGGAAAGGGAAATTTTTCACCTCTTCTTGATAATCTCATAGGAATCTTCAGAACCTGATGTTAAAAGCTAAAAATTCAACAAATCACTATTTTGAAACCTATGAACAGAATCAACTGGCATGAATACACTAAAAGCCAGAGAAACATCCCATAGTTATGTTAAGTTAAAAGCAACTAAATTCAAGAAGCTGAAATCCTAAACAGAAATTGCCACAAGTCATTAAATCCTTCTTCAAATATAAAAATCAGCCACTACACTCTTATTGCTGTCTTAATTTGCTTAATTAATAACAACAAAATAATTGGCTTAATTTATAAAAACAAAAAAAAAGGCCTGCAAAATAATTTTTTCTCTTGCTTTGCCTTTTATACCACTTGTAAACACCTGTTTTTGACTAGTTAATGCTTCATTAGTATACCACTGCAAATGTAAAGAACTATATCTTCTAATGGGCAATAAGCCAGAGACCTCTTTTCTATCATTTAGAATCTGAATTTCCCATTATTTTATATCATATTATCCAATCATATATATTTTTTCTTCTTTTGGAGAGGTTTTTATATAGGGCATGTGCACTCACCAGAAAGACAGAGAGAGACAGAGAGACAGAAAGCAAGAAATCACCCCCCCCCCGGGGGGGATGGCCACGCTGCAATCCCTTCTCCATTCTCTCTCAGGATCTTGGGCATGTACGCACATGCGCCTGGTGTGAGTTTAAGCCACTGGGTCCCATACTCAAACCATGATCGACTACATGGGAGTCCAGCGACAAAGCCATTACGCTAACTGCTGGTCCCCCAATCATGTATTTTAACACTACAAACTTAAGCAAATGTCTGGTCTACTATATCTGACTCCAGACCACCACTGCTTTGTTTGACCTTTTTGACATTTTAAAATGAACTCGTCTTTCTTAAGGGCAAAACAAACTAAGACTTAGTTGGGGGGATTATTAGAGCTGGAAGATACAGAGGAAGCTTGTGTCTGACAAAACCAGGAGCAAAGCCAGCAGAAGCATCTTCCTCATTCCCTGATTGTCCCAGTGCCTTGGCTCTAACAATAACAGGAGGGAGACTGGGAATGACAAAAGACACAGTGGGTTGTTAAAATATTCTCCCACACAGAGCTGTGGAAAAAATATTACTCATGGGATGAATGAGCCTGGAAGGCTTTTAAAAATTGCATCATATGGCTAGACTATTGAGAAATGTGGTTCAGGAAAGAAACCACTTTTTATTGGTTGCGAGGGAAATCCCCCTTCATTTGCATATTACCCAATCATTTATATATGAAATACAAAAAATGGCCAATTGAGCGTTTGTCCCTTTCAGTTTACATCTCCATACATATGGTTCCAAGAGCCTAGGTGGAGGGAACCAGCAGTTAGCATAATGGCTATGTCGCTGGACTCCCACGTAGTCGACCGCGGTTCACGTCCGGGACCCGGTGGCTTAAAACTCATGCCGGGCACATGTGCGTGCGTGCCCAAGATCCTGAGAGGAGAATGGAGAAGAAGGGATTGCGGCGTGACCATCCCTTCTGGGGGGTGATTTCTCGCTTTCTGTCTCTATGTCTCTCTCTGTCTGTCTGGCGAGCGCACGCGCCCTATAGCAAAAAACCTCTCCAAAACAAAAAGGGCCTATGTGGGCATTTTCTCTAATCTGTCTACATTGGTTTATGAAAAACTATGGTGGAAAACAAATTATGATGTAATATTGTTAGCTTATGAGAGTTTTGGCAATAAACATTCATATACCACATGTATCAATGAAAATGGGAGCATATTAAATTCACCAAAGTTTCTAAACATTTCTATTGCAGAGGAATCCAAGAATGGGAGAGTTACACTGGCTAAATCTCCATTTCCTGCCGATATGTGTGTTTGCATTGATATTAAATGTTCATCTTTCTTTAAGGTTCCAGACATTATTTAGGCTGGTCAACAGATAGAAAAGGAAACTAGTCTAGATATATTGGTAGATGAAATTTTTCTAAGTAATCAGTTATGCCCAAAGACTAACTCACAGCTCTTCCTGGTGGGGCAATATGAAACATATTTTTCTGCCAAAAAGGGGCAGCATTAAGATTCCTATTCACAGTTGACATATAGCTCATTATCCTCCTTCAGAACCTAAACATTAATTAACCACTAATTATTAACTGAACATCAGTTAATTCATTAATTCTCCTCTTTACAATGCCCTTTTCAATTCTTTTTGGGTTTCCCCTCTTGTTCATGTTTTCGGGCTTCTTTTTTTTTTGAATATTTAAATCTTTAACAAGCTTGATTTAATAAATTTATACAGAACCCTATACCCAATATGGAAAGAACATATTTTCTTTTCAAACACATGAAGCACTTACAACCATTGATACTAAGCTATATCCAAGGGGAAGTTTGAACACATTTAAAAACAAAAAACCCATATTCTCTGGGCACGTACAAATTATAATGAATAGTAATAAAAAATATTTTTGGAAACTTTTAAAAGCATTCTCCTTGAGCCAGCCCCACAACACAGTGGTTAGGAACTACACAAAGGAAGTTGGATCCTACATGGCCATCTAAGGTTCCAGTCCCAGTTCTATCAGCTTAAAAAATACACTGGGCACAAGCATATGTACCCAGGATTCTGATGGGATGGAGAATTGGAGAAAAATGGATTGCAGCATGACCAGACACCATCGTGGAGCGCTTTATCTCTCTATCTCACTTGTGCACATGCATCTACCCTCTGGCATTAAAAAAAATAAAAAGTGTACTCTAAGTAACTCATAAATTAAAGAGGAATGAAATGGCAATATTCAAAACCGCCCAACAATGAAAATTATTCAATCTAAGGGAAGCAGCTATAGTAGTGTGTAGAGGGAAATTTGGAGCCTTAAATGTACTTAAAGAAAAACAAAAATGAAAATAAATGACATCAGCATCCAACTTAAAAAACTAGTAAAAGAAAAACAGAATTATGACTTGTAACAATACCAAAACTAAAAATAAGGAGAAACTGATAAATATGTAACAATAGACTTCTTTTAAAAGTAATGAATCAGAGGCCAGCAGGTGGGGTGGAGGTTAAGTACTGGATTTCCACATGGCCAACTCCACAATTCAAGACCTGAACGCGGCTATTTGAAAAATCAAGCTGGACATGTATGTGCGTGCCCAAAATCCCAAGAGGAGAATGGAGAGAAGAGATCGCAGCATTGCCACTGTGGGATGATTTCTTACTTTCCCTCTCTCTCTCTGTCTCTGTCTAGCTCTGATAATCACATGTGTCTTACAGTAGAAAAAAAATTTCAAAAAGAAAAGAAAATAAGTTAATAACAGATCAGTTAGATGAAAAACAATGAGAAATACAGGGTATATAAACAACACACTTAGAGTCAAGCTTCATACTCACCTTGAGAGGAGTCCTTTTACTTTCTTTCACTCCAGTTGAACCCAGACAATCAACCATCCCTCCCTATTCTGGATCTGGGGCCATTGGGCCTGTTCCTCACTCCTGCTGGCCTTTTCTATTCTGCACCTGGCCCACACGAGTCTTTGCCCAATTTTTATTTTGCTTAATTGAAATGAGATGTTTTTGACTTTCTTACTTTTTTTTTAATTTTTTTTTCTAGGTTTCTTTACCTGTCATTGTTATGTGTTGGAATCAAAAAAAAAAAAAAAAAGATACATGGAAGCATAAATTCACTGTGTCATCTCGAACAGAAGTATCTCTTTAAAATTTTTTAAAATTTATTTTTAATAGGTAATAATGCACAGAGTAAAATTTTTCAGTCAAGATGTATAGAGTGCACAATTTTTTATATATTTTTAAAATACCATTCTACTCTATTTAGGTTCCCAGCAGAAAAAAAGAAGGAAGAAAGAAAGGAAGAAAATGAAGTTCCAGGCAGAGATACCAGGTACCTTCAATAGAGGCCCCAACTCACCTGCCAGAACCAGCTTCCCTGGAGCAGGATGAGACTTGCCCGCAGAAGCTCCAGAAGTACATTGCTCCGGAGGAGGAACTCCAAGAAGGCCACTAGGCCTGTCAAAACGATAACCAAGACTAGCAGCTGATGCACAAAGATGTCCAGCATATCACGGCCGTGAGTGTGGTTATAGAAGATCAAACCTAATAGAAGGGATAGTAAGTTTGTCTTTATCAATGAATCCAAGGACCCAGCCATTGTTATCTCTCTTCTGTCTACAGAATTTTACACATACACACACATAATTTGCCCAAAAGAGCGGGTGCCCATTGATTTCCATAGTAATGCAACTCTAGCATTTTTAGATAATCTCTGTCTGTTTAACAGAATCTTTGAAATCTAACTCCCTTATTCTTTCCTCCAACACATCATAACATTTTTTAACTATTTTAAAAGTATCTTCTATGCAGGACAATTAATTACAAGAACTACAGAGGGGCAATAATTAAAGTGAATGCATAGATCAATAATCAAGTAATCTTAAGGAATTCAGTCCTTTGGCTGAAACAAATCATAACGGTGGACTTCCTAGGTTTGACAAGATGCCTAAAGGTTCCCAAGAAGTAGCAACTAACTGCATTTTTTTTCATCACATGGACAGCTTCATCTTATCTCTTTTCATGTAGATGAAGAGGAAAAAATACTAATTCAAAATAAGCAATCACCCTGAGATAGTAAGAACCATGCTACCAGTTGTTGACACCCATCATTTATTTAGCTCTTAGTTCTCAAAGAGGGAAGGGTAAAAGTTCTTATCTTCAGATGTAGGAGGCACGGTGAGCTGTTAGGAGGTGACTGGCTCCTGATCATCTGGACCTTTTGTAGTTCTATAATCAATCTGTTTCTTACATGTATAATAATTTTAAAAAATCATTAAATACTGTTTTCTTCTCCTTGTAGTAACTGGGAAACCAACGGAACAAGAAATAATGCTTTTCATTAACCTCTCAAAATTAGTGTGTCATAGTTTTCTGTGACTCATTTTCTGAGACCCTGCCTATCATATAGGTTTGACCTCATCACTGTGCAAAGGGCTAAGGAGGAAATGATGGAAGCGGCTCTGTGGAGTGGTTGCCTCATTTCGGGGTGCTCATACCTAATTACCCAGAGTTTAGTTTGCACTTGTTCAAAGCAGAAGTAATAATAATCTCTAGGATAACTCAGGGTTAAGAAATCATTGTAGACAGTTCAGACACAAATGTGAAATGCAAATAAAGCACATTGAGTGATTGTGTTCACCTGGTTCTACTAAATGAGTCGGTAGAGAAAAAAGATTTCTGGTATCCTGTCTAGCACACCCAAATATGTCACTATGGCCTACATATATGGCCCTATCAATTAAGGCTACACCAAAGTGCTGAAAGTATATTATTATAAAGAGCTACATAAATGCCCACAAATAGAAAAAAGTACAAGAAAATATTCATACTTACCCTCCACAAATAAAGCATTTGACAGCATTAATTTGGGTAAGGAGGTGGGAAGTGAGCTGATGGTGAAACACAGGATGTTTGTAACACCCATGAACCCAAAGAAGAAATACATGGTACAATGGTGCCAGCTCATGAGGCTGTTCCAATGGTCTTCATTATATAAGATCATGGAGGGCCCTCCAGAAGTAAACTGTTCCCCAAATATGCCTGTAGAGAAATATAGCACAGTTTTAGCAAACCTTTCTATAACTTGACCTAGAATGCAGGAAGGTGCAGGATGATTAAACCATTGCTTATTCCAACCTACTGTCCTCCATGACACGCTTCATCTCTGGGCTGTTCCCTGTCAGATGAATACTACTAGCACTTTAGGCTTATTCTACAGGTTCAGATGAACAACTTTTGCCTCTGCCTCTGCCTCTGCCTTGGCCTATGAAGTTTGGGGGGACATAACCCCCAAGTGGGACCTGTGGTGGATTTGGAAAGGGCAGAAAGACAAACAGAAAAGCAGGGGTCAGGTAGATCTGTCATCTCTGTGTGGAGAACACCATGGCCTGAAGCCATCTGTCATTACTTCTTTTATAGGGAAGGGTAAGTTGGGCATTATTTATTACCAACTGCAACTGTAAAGTATCTTGCTTCTTGAGATTCTAATCAAGCCTCCCCTGGCTTTCTCTCACGGTCACTCAGCTTTCTTTAATCTGAAAAGTGATTTCTGACTTTGCCCAAAAATCTTTCTTATGTCTGCTTTCTTTATTCAGTATGCACTGCCCTGCAGTGCAAGATACATTATGCCTTCTTTAGAGCTTTTGCTTGCCCTGCAGTGTTAGCTCAAGAGCCACATCTGCTTTAGCGATTGCTGCCTATATGTAGCCACTCCCTGTGTTTTGGACAGATCTGGCCACTCTCTATAAACTTTCAGCAAAATAACCAAGTCAAACAGCTACTTTGGATCATCAATGCTGTTGTTTGTTTCATCACCTATCCCAATCTAGTGTCTAAGATAGTCCTAAATGATTTGGGGCTTTCGATTTATGAGATCAGTCCTATAAAGGTTGATTATCTTCTTCTTAGATACTACATCTTTCAGTAGCTGCCATATAGTAGGCAATTAGTTCCAGATAAACATGCTGAAGACATCAGCTTTTGCCCAAGTAAGGATAACTGAGGGACTAGTAGGTAGTGTCTTAGTTAATGTGTTGAATTCCCACATGGCCGACTGCAGTTCAAATCCTGGACCTGTTGGCTTAAAACACACCAGCTAAGTGTGTGTGTATGCCCAAAATCTCAAGAGGAGAATGCAGAAGAAGAGACTGCAGCATGGCCATGCCTCTCGGGGGATGATTTCCTGCTTTCTGTCTCTATCTGACTCTCCAGCAAGCATACATGTGCTATAGCAAAAATCTCTATTAAAAAAAAAGGGATAACTGAGAAGGGTCAGACAAATTTAGGATGTGTCTAATCAGTTATGCAAACAATTAAAATTTTTAAGAGACATAGTAATTTTTTTTTAAAAATGTCAACAGAATTTTAAAGTTTTTATATGAATGACCTCAAATGTAGAAGGGAGCCTGTGGTCTTTTGTGAAGAACTGTTTGTGAGTACATTACAACATAGCTAACACATAGGTCATGTAACCTGCCTTCGGTATCATTTTTGTCCTTTGTCCTTGGTAAGTTAAAACTGGCTTAGTTTGTTTATCTCACATCAGTATATCAGATTTCTTCATGTCATATTTGATTTGGGTTTATTGTATTAATCTTTTTTTAAGCTTGTAAAAAGAATTTACCAACATGAAATACACTTCAAACTAGTCCAGTTGAGAGCACTATACATGCCATCATCAACATACAACAAACCATTTCTGAGTCCCACAAACATCCTAACTCTCCATTTTTTTCTCCCTAATTTCCTCTCCTGCACTATTCTCCTCTCCCACCCTTCTTCCACACTGTCTCCAGTGTCCATAACTATTTTCAATGCTTTTATGTCCTCCAATCTTTCAGTCTCTACCATAGAGTGCAGATAGTTGGTATATGTTAAGTAGAGACATACAATCTCTCTCTTTCATAGCCTGATTTGCTTCGTTCAGTAATAAATATTCCATATTTGTCCATTTTCTATCAAATGCCAGGGTTTTTTTATGGCTAAATAGTATTCCAAGGAGTATATGTGCCACACTTTCTCAGTTCACTCATTTGTTTATGGACACTTGGATTGGTTCCATGTCTTAGCAATTATGAATAATGTCACAACAAACATAGATGTGCAAGCACTTTTCAGACTGAGCATTTGTTCCTGTCCTTTGGATAGATACCCAGGACTAGAATTGATAGAACATATGGTAGTTCCATTTGTAGGTCTTTGAGGAACTTTTGTATCATTCTCCACAGTGGCTAGGTCAATTTACAGTCCCACCAACAGTGTAAGAGTTTCCCTTTCACCACAACCCCGCCAAGACTTATCATTTTTTGTATTTTTAATCTTCACAATTCTGACATGGGTTAGGTGATAACTCATTGTGGTTTTCATCTTATGATGAGGAATGTTGAACATTTTTTCATATGCTTTTTGGCCGTTCATATGTATTCCTTAGAGAGTTTTTGTTCAGGTCATTTTCCCACCTTTTAATTGGGTTCATCTATTTTTTTTTTCTTTTTTCTGGGTATGCTGCTTGAGTTCCTTGTGTATTTTGGTTATCAGTCCCTTATCTGAGCCAGAGTTTACAAAAATATTCTTCCAATCCAAGAGTTGTCAATTTACACTAATTACTATGTCTTTTACTGGGCAGAAACTTCTTAATCTGATGTAATCCCACTTGTCTATTTTTGGAATTATTGCCTATGTTTTGGGGGGCCTTATGTAAGAAGTCTTTGCCTACCCCAGTGTATCCTAGAGTTTCCCCAGTGTTTTCCACCAGTAGTTTTATAGTTTGGGGCCTTAGGTTTAGATCTTTAATTGATTTTGAGTTGATTTTTGTTAATGGTGAAAGATAGGGGTCTAGTTTCATCTTTCTGCAGGTGAATATCCAGTTTTTCCAGCAGCATTTGCTAAATAAGTTTTCCTTTTCCCACTGGATTGACTGGTATCCTTTGTCAAAAATCAGTTGGGGGTTACTTCTGGGGTCTTTATTCTATTTCATTGGTCCACGTGTCTGTTTGTGTGTCAATACCATGCTGTTTTGATTATCATAGCTTTATAATATATTTGGGGGTCAGGAAGTGAGATGCTGCCCACTCTACTCTTCTTGTGCAGGACTGCTTTGGCAGGGGTCTTTTAAGATTCCAGACAAATTTTATGATTGTCTTTTCTAGATCTGTGAAGAACGTCTCTGGTAATTTGATTGGAATTGTATTAAATATGTAGATTCATTTGGGTAGACTTGCCATTTTGATTATATTAATTTTTCCAATTCAGGAACATAGGATGTCTTTCTACTTTTTTGTGTATCATTTTCAAAATCTTTTTTTCATTTTCTAAATCTTTTTTAAGATTTTCTTAATTTTCTTTCTAAAGGTCTTTGGCTTCCTTGATTAGATTTATCCCTAGGTATCTTATACATTTTGTGGCTATGGTAAAAGAGATTACTTTCTTCTGTTCTACCTCAGTCAGTTTGTTGTTCATATATAAAAAAGCCATAGATTTTTGGATGTTGATTTTGTATCCTGCCACTTTACTGTACTCATTTATTACTTTGGGATATTTTTTCATGGATACCTTTGGGTCTTCTATGTATACCATAATGTCATCTGCAAATAAAGATATTTTCAATTCTTCTTTCCCTATTTGAATGCCTTTTATATTATTCTCTTTTCTGACTGCATTTAGCTAGAACTTCCAGCACTATATTGAAAAGTAGTGGAGAAAGTGGGCAGTCTTGTCTTGTACCAGTTTTTAGTGGATAAGTTTTGAACTTTTCCCCATTCAGTATAATGTTAGCTGTAGGTGTTTTATATATGACTTTTATTGTGTTGATAAATGACCCATTTTTCTAGGCCAATTTTGCTGAGTCTTAATCACGAAGAGATGTTGTATTGTGTTGAATGATTTTTCTGCATTGATTGAAATGATCATATGGTTTTTAATCTTTCTTTCTGCTAATATGGTGTATTATGTTTATGGCTTTGCATATGCTGAACCACACTTACATACCTGAATAAAGCCTACCTGGCCGTGATGAATTATCTTTTTATATGTTGTGTAACACAATTTGCAAGTATCTTGTTGCACCTATATTCATCAGAGATATTGGTCTGTAGGTTTCTTTTTTTGTCAGTTTTGGGAGTGAAGATGATGAAGGCTTCATAAAATGAATTTGGGAGGATTCTTTCCTTTTGGATCTTTAGAAATAGTTTGAGTAGAATGGGGGTTAACTCTTCTTTAAAATTTTTGTAGAAGTGAAGCTATCAGGACCTGGGATTTTCTTTCTTGGGAGGTTATTTATTACTGATTCAATCTCATGGCTTGTTATGGGTCTATTCAGGCTTTCTGTGTCCTACTGATTCAATCTTGGTAGATTATATGTGCCCAAGAATATGTCCATCTCATTCAGGTTCTCTTGCATGCTGGCATATAGTCACTCATAAGATAAGTCACTCATAACTAATGGTGTTTTGTATTTCTGTTGAGTCTGCTGTAATACTGCCTGTTTCATTGTGAATTTGATTAATCTTGTTCCTTTCTCTTTTCTTTTTAATCAGTCTAGCTAATGGTGTGTCAATCTCTTTAATCTTTTCAAAGAATCAGCTTTTACTTTCATTTATTTTCTGTATAATTCATTTATTTTCTATTTTATTTATTTCTGCTCAAATCTTTATTTCTTTTCTCCTAGCATTTTTTGGATTTTATTTGTTGTTCTTTTTCCAGTTCCCTGGGGCATGATGTTAGGCTGTCAGTTTGCCACATTTCTTTTTCTTATGCTCACGAACAGCTATGAATTTCCCTCTTACGACTGCTTCTGCAGTGCCCATAGTTTATGGAAACTTGCATACTCATTATCATTTGTTTACATAAATCTTTTGATTTCAGTTCTAATTTTTTCAGTACTTGAGAAGTCATTCAAAAGTAGGTTGTTTATAGTTTCCATGTGTTTGTGTATTTTCAAGGATTTTTTTTCCTGAAATCAATATCAAGTTTAATCCCATCATGGTCGGGCAAGATGCTGAAACAGTTTCTATGCCTTTGAATCTGTAAAAGCTTGATTTGTGCCCAATCATATGGTCAATCTTTGAAAAGGTTCCATGTAGGGGGTGAGAAAAATATATATTTTGTGGTTTTAGAGGGAGAAGTTATATAGATGTCTATAAAATCCATTTGATTTATGGTATCATTTAGATCCTGTATCTCCTCTTTGCTTATTTTTTATCTAGAAGATCTGTCTAAAGGAGACAATGGGGTGTTGAGAGCCCCAACAATAAACAGTGTTGCAAACTATCTCTTCTTGTAGGTGTAGTAGTCTTTCTTTCACAAAAGTGGGTGCTCCTGAGTTGGGTGCATAGATATTTTATAAGTGTTATGTCTTCTTGATGAATTAGCCCTTTTGCTACTATAAAATGCCCTTCTTTGTCTCTTCTTAAAGTTTTTGTCTTAAAGCCTATTTTGTCTGAAATCAGTATCATGACTCCAGCCCTTTTTTCATTTCTGCATGCATGCAATACCTTTCCCCAGCCCTTCACTTTTAGTCTACATATGTCTTTAACCATGAGATGCATTTCTTGTAGGCAACAGATAGATGGTTTCTGTTTTATTGTTTGTTTGTTTGTTTTTCCATTCAGCCAGTCTGTGTGTCTTGATCGGAGAATTTAATCAATTAACATTCAATGTATTATCAACATTTCTGGACTTGTTCTGATCATTAAGTTAGTCATTTTTCTTGGTTGTTTTTTGTTGTCTTATTTCTGTATCTCTGACTTTAGTTTTCCTGGTATAGCACACCCTTCAGAACTTCTTGAAGAGCTGGTCTGGCATTGGTAAATTCTTTCAGGTTTTGTTTATCTGAGAATGTCTTTTATCTTTTATTCCCATATGAAGGATAATTTTACTGGGTATAATAATCTTGGTTGAAATTGTTTTTCATTTGGCATTTGAATATATTTCCTAATTCTTTCCTTGCCTACATTGTTTTCAACAAGAGGTCCAATGTTAACCTGATGGGATAACCTTTGACATTTCTCTCTTGCCAACATTAGTATCTTGTCTTAGCCTGTGGTTTTGGCCAATCTGGCTGTGCGGTTTTGGCCAATCTGGTTTTGATGTGCCTTGGAGAAGATTTTCTTGGGCTGAGTCTATGTGAGTTGTATTGTATTTCTTGGGTCTGGATATTTGCTTTCTAGGTTTGGAAAGTTTTCTTCAGATTATCAATGCCCTTAGATTCTTCACCTTCTGGGATACCAGTTATCCAGATGTTTGGATCCTTAATGGTATCTAGTATTTCCAATAAATTGTCCTCATTCTTCTTGGTTATTTTCTCAGTTCTATGATATTTTTTTCTAGGTCAGAGGTTTTGTCTTCTACATTCAAGATTTGATCTTTCATGTGATCTAATCTGCTCTTAATGCTTTCAAGGGAGTTTTTTATTTCCTGTATAATAGTCTTCATCTCTAAGAATTCTGATTAAATTTTTTTTTTGAGAGGTTTTCGCTATAGGGCACGTGTGCTCGCCAGACAGACAGAGAGACATAGAGACAGAAAGGGAGAAATCACCCCCCCAGGGGGGATGGTCACGCCGCAATCCCTTCTCCTCCATTCTCCTCCTGGGATCTTGGGCATGCACGCACACGCTCCCAGCGTGAGTTTTAAGCCACCGGGTCTGGGACGCAAACCGTGGTCGACTATGTGGGAGTCCAACGATAGTCATTACGCTAACTGCTGGTTCCTAAGAATTCTGATTAATTTTTTATGGTGTCTATTTCTTCTTTCAAATTGTGAAAGAACTTCTTCATTTCATGGAGCTCACTGTCTCTTTTTTCTTGCACCTTCTGGAGTTCTCTGTCTCTTTCTCTTGCATCTCATTTTGTTTTATCACTATAAAGTTGTTTATCTGACATTTCCATGAGTTCCATAGCATTGCCTGTGGATGATGAGCAATCAATGCTTTCCCTTGGAGGAGAGATAGTTTCTTGGTTTCTTATATTTTTTTGCGCCTCTGCGATGGTTGCTAATCATCAGGTGAATCATATGTTTCTCCCTAAATTCTTCAAATTAATTCTGAGTGTTCAAAGGTGAGCAGGAAGAAGTGATCAGCAATCTCTCTGCTGCTCTACCTCCCTGATGCGCACCCAGCATCCTGCACTGTTGTCTCTGGACTTGGATAATTCAAAGTCCTCCCAGTTTCTAGAGAACAGATGCACCTGGGACTGAGCTGCTGAGCTTCAACTGAGGTAGACAGAAGGGGCTACACAGCTTGTGTTGCATGCCATGCACTTCAGGAAATGCTGAAGTCTGAGAATTCAGTGGCATGTCACAGGGGATGAGCTATAGTCCCTCTGCAGCTCAGTGTCTCTGCCGCTCAGTGCAGCCAGGTCCATCTCAGGGGCAGATGTCCCGATGGTGCTGGAAGCAAGGAAAGGAGTGCTCCTCCAAGTCCCAATTTACACACATGGGTTCAAAGGTGTACAGGGGAGGGGATGAGCCACGCTTTGCAGTACAGCCTCCCAGTTGCAAATGGATGACTGTGTAGCAAGGGTCATGGCTGGACTGATGCCCCGATGGTGCAGGGAATAGGGAA